AAGCGCCGCTGCCCGGCGCCGCCGCTGTCCTTCCCCAGGAGCAGGACGCGGGATTCCGCGAGGGAACGCGGCGGCACCGACCCTGCCGCCTGCCCGGCCCTGCCCGGAGCGGGCTCGGCCGCCTGCCCTGCAGCTTTCCTCAGCGCCTCCTGGGAGCCTCATGGTTCTTCCAAGGGCCCCAGCCCCTTCCCGGGGAACGGCTGTTTCTTCCCTTGGTCCATTCAGGTCACAGAAGTTGCTTTTTCTAGTATTTAGATTAATAAAAATTAAAGGCCACATCTTCAAACATAATCCCTACCCAGGCTGCAAAGTTTCCCTGCACATGTTAACACAGTGAAACACAGTCCAAGGATGCAAGGCTTACATACTACAGACTTTCTTTTTAAAATATATTGTATGTATCACATGTATATATATGTCTATTCATGTATCGGTCTTTTATATATATGTTTAAAGAGATCTACGTAATATTTTTCAAGCAGAGGAAGAGTCACAGTTGCCAAAAAGTGTTTTTCATCTTTCCTTAGACTGCAGAATCCAAATACTACAAGCTCTGGAGTAAGGACTCTCTGGTCTACATCCAACCCTCTGTAGATAATGCCCAAAGTCAGGCACCACAGCGTTTCAAAGTCAAGTAAAGGGCATTCTTCTTACAGGACCTGAAGGAAACCCATACAGAACAGGATCAGGGAGTTCTTACTGCACTAACTGACTGCAGTATAGTTACTCAGGCAGAATCATCCTCCCCCTGAGGACGAGACAGTCCTTCCCTAAAAGCTAAAAATAACGCACATCCTAATACTGTAGGGAATTACCATACGCATAGACTCATTGTTCATTCTCAGAAAAAGGAAGAAACTCCCAAGGAGTAGTTTACACTCATTTACTACAGTTTTTCAAAACAGTTATTACAAATTAGGGAAGGGAAAAGAAAAAAAAAAAGAAGAAAACCCACATTGCTTTAAATGTAAAGATTCTTCCCAGGGAAAGAAAAGTATGAAAGCAGAAAGGAAGCTGCTGTGTCAATGAACGAGATACAAACTTCATGCCAGTCTTTACTCACACTCAATCCTCTCCTGCTTTTATGGCCAGTCTCAAAGGCTGAGTATAAACTTTCATTTACCACAAGCACTTCAGCTCAATTACTGTTTCTTTTTGAAATTGATTTGGCTAAAGCGTGTATTTCCCTGAAATTCCTATTATGGGGGACAAGCCCGTTTGTATTAGTGGAGATATTTCTGCTCTTAAATCTCAAAATCTACATGGTAAAACTGTTTTGACAATAATTTTCAACCGATACCTAAACCAGAACAAATCTGTGCACAGACCAGGCACACACATGCCCATTTTTCTCTAACAATCAGGTATCGTCATCGCTGCTGTATCTGGATCAACCGTAACAGAAGCAGAGGCCACCACCACAAATTCTTGCTAGCACGCTCTGTGCCAGCACCATCAGTGTTCCCCTGTTTTGCTACTTCTCAGTCGTCTGCACAGAGGCAGATGGTTTTCCAGGCCACAGAAAAATAGCAGCACAATGTTTAATCATTAAACATTGTCCTGACAGAATTTAAGTCTGTACAGTATCATTACTAGCTTAATTGTTTGAAAGCTTTGCTAAATACCAATAAAAGCCACCATAAATGAAAAAAATCAAATTATAAACACAACAGGGAAGAAATTCTTTTTAAAAATCTTTTTTAAAGTACAAAAATTCTGTACAGTTGACAAAAGCTTTTCAAAATTAGTTGCAGTAAACCCACAGGCTAGGCTAGTTCCTTTTTGTAAGGGCCAGAGGCATTAGGTAGCTGAGCATTTTGCCACTAACTTAACTGGCCTTGAAATTTATTACCAACTGCAGTATTCTGGTCTGTTTCATAACAGAAACGAAAATCAAATAAATTACTTTTCCCTCAGCTTTTAACTGCTCAAATACATAACCTTTTATATAACTTAGCAGTTAAATGAAGCATCCTGTGACCTAAAGAATACTACAGAAATACATAACATTTCTATAGTCTTTTTAAAAATATGCATTTATAAGCATAATTAATTTCCAATGAGTTATTAACATTCAAAATATAATGATTTTACCTTTCCCAGACGGACACACCTTTGTATGTCAAACAACAGACCAGTCTCTATTTCTCCAGCAACAACAGTGCTAAAACAACATAGTTGTTGAAGAGGGTTACAAGTTACACTCTGCCAGCCACAATCCTTAGTCCTCACTTTGCAACAACCCTAGCAGAGCAAAATGTAAACTGCCAGTTACACTTGCTGGAAAAATCAACTATCCTCAGCCAGAATCTCAGGATATTCCTCCCAGAACTGGTCCCCTATAATGTCACAGTGCAGAGGAACAACTTTAGTCCTAGTTCGGGTCACTTCAACTTCCTTTTCTTCTGTTTCCTTTGGCAGTTTTATTTTCTTTGTTATGACTTCATTAACCTGAAAAGAGAGTTGACACATTGTTAGACAGGTAAGACTTCAGTTAGCTTTCATAAATGAACAAGACAAAAAGCTATAATGAAAGTAACTATCATGCCTAGATGTACTACATAAATTAAATACTGCATTTTTTGAAAGGGAATCTATTTCATACTAAGTAGAACAGCATTACTAGTTCAAATCGTGTACAGTTATCATAGCTTGAAGAAATCAACTGCAAATTACGTACAGTTATCATAATTATCACATAGCTTGAAGAAATCAACTGCAAATTCATGTAGTTGATGCAAAGTATTCTTGAATAAAATACAATATTCAGACTGCAGCCATTTAAAGCATATGGAAAACCTTGCAAATTGTCAACAATAACCAAGGAAAAAAAAGTACCTACAAGAAACTAGTGGAATATATTTCCAGGTCAGAGCTTCTACCTGTTCCAATTAATTTCAAATGAAACAAGAAAAAAATACAGGACTATAAAAAGTTTTTTTTACACATAGAAATTATAAAGATGAATAAATTACAGAGAACTCTCGACATTGACTAATTTGGTCCTGATCACAAGCAAGGTGCATATTTCTAATTAAGATTACTAAATATGGAAGGATAGTAAGGCGAGAAACATTTATGACTTTCTGGGGCCTGATCTCAAGCAAAACACAGGCCAGGAATTTCTTGCACTACTTTTGCATCTGTGATAGATTTCAAGAACGATGCGAATTCTCAAGTTATTATTAAAAGAAATTCCTCATTAACAGCTGCACTCCTTCACACATTATGTAAAAAGAGAAGGAAACTAGAGGTCCTATGGGCTGAGCTATCTTGTTGAATGGAAGTTTTAAATTTTCCATGCAACCACTTAGCATCTAGACCTGTGAAGGGTCTGACGCAGACCCTAATGTTTACTGTATCAAGCTTTGATAACAGTCATAAAATCTAATTTTCCAGGAAACAAGTTTCCTTCTTCATTTTTTTTTATTGCTAGCAGCATTGAAAAGTGTGTTATTCATTAAACAAAAAGATATCTACCAGATACATCAGTTTTGTGAAATTCTACATAAGGAATATATAACAACAGATGACAACGTACATATATCAATGGTTATAATTTATGTATAACCACATTTCAGAGAGTAGTTTTTATACTATACTCATGAATAGATACCCAAGAAACATTTCTAACATAACTAGCAATCTTACATACCACTACACAGAAAATGTCATTAGTTTTACACATTGTTATTTAAAGATTATGTCCAGAGAGCTTTACTTCACATTTGGTATTTTTACAGTATAGTTTATCTACCATAGTGAGCTGTTCAAAACATGAGCATGAAGCCAGTACTAATATATTTCTCACCTTCTGCCATATTAGGACAGTTCCTTTTCTGTACATCAAAGGCTCATTGTTGTAGTTGATGTTGAATTCAGAAAATAAAATTTCATTCTTATCTCCTGCCAAAGTTCCCTGGCAGAAAAAGGAAAGTACTTTTAGAGAAAAAATATACATGCAAATGGGATCACTAACACAAGTGATAGGTAAATATGGAAATAAGACTGGCATTTATGCAGGTTTTTCACCTTTAAATTACAGGCACAATTACTTCTCTTAATAAAGAAACTTTTTCCAACTGCCAAACAGCAATACTAAAAGATAATCTCTTTCAGGTTTGTGTTATTTTTCAAAAGAGAAGTAAAAGTCAACAGAATCTAGGTGAACAGAGATATAATGTGCTTAAGTCTGCATAATCAGTCAGAATACTATAGAATAATCCAGCACTCAGTAGCGTCTAAATCCTCCCATTTTATTTCTTGTTCAAATATCATGGTTTGTTACATCAAGTGCTTAAAACTTATGAACTCACTAATTATGAAATGGAAATTCTGTTAACATTTACCTAAAATGCCATACTCTAAATATATTAGCATCTGCACAAATGAAGAGGAAGTTGTTGAATATGTACTCATAAAATTATTACTGTAAGAGCAGAGAAGAGAGCCAGAGCTGTTGGGTAGGCAAGACACAGCTTAGCAAATCGTGTGATTCTGTTTGTACTTAGAACGTAACTTACCTGAAGTCTATCCTGTGCTTGAACTGGTGTCAAACCACTTCGTTGCACAAGCATCCAAAACACTGTATTATAAAGGTTATTAAAATGGC